GCAAGAAGCCCTCGCTGGTAATTAATAATGTGAGCAGATACAGAACCACATATTTAGCCTCTATGGTAATTCTGCACAGAAACACACACGTGCTGCATCGCCACCTTCTTGCTGCTTCCAGATTGAAATAAAACACAGGTGTAGCCCAAACTTCTGTTTTCTGTGCACACCAAGGACCTTCTCCCCCCCCACCGTGGCTTTTGTCCACCACAAAATTCTGGGTAAGTTCTCCTAGAATTGGTCAAATCGGGGTTTCCTCCAGAAGCAGGCGGGTGCTGGGGCTCCAGCCCAAGCAGAACTCTGAGGAGATGCCGGGGAACAGGGGCGCACGGGCTGTGCTGAGGGTGCAGCAGCTCCAGGGCTGGGGGTGCCACTTGCAGAGCTGCTGCAGGGAAGGGGAGGACGAGCCGCTGGCTCTTCCAAAGGCTGCTCTGACGAGGAGAGACTGGCCCCGTGCCAGGCCCCAGCTCTGCTCACAGCCACGCTCTATGTTTCCCGAGGGGCTGTGACAGATCCTGCAGCCCCTCACGCTTTGCCAGGATGGTGGCATGTGGCACCATAGTCCAACCCTGGCGAGCAAGCAGGTGGGATGTGCTCGGTCAGTGTCTGGGCATCCTCCTCCCAAGCTAGTTGATGCCGATGATTTCCACAGGAATTTTGAACCCCGTCCAGGACTGAGATAGCGCAGGAGCGTGCTGGGCTGCCCAGGCCTCTGTGGGGGTTATTTACAGCCCTCGGCCACCCGGCACGCGGCCGCTGCACGGGCTGGGCTGTGGCCAGGCACACGCCTGCCAACGTGTGTTTTGGGGAGTGGAAACCCCCCCGACGTGGGGGACATCAGTGCCTGGAGGAAGGTGACAGGAGCAGATATTCCCCCTGCCAAGTGTAGGGCTTGTACTGGGGCAAGACTATCTCACCGGGAGGGAAGGAAGAGATCTACAGGGGAAAATAAAGCACGAGGGGCACATGAGAAAACACGAGGCCACACCAGCGCCAGAAATGGATCCGATTGTCACTTTAATCCACAGACTGCTGCATGCACTGTAAACAGGGTCACCAGGCAGGTTCGTTATTGGTGTTTATTTGTCTTTAATACAAAAGTTACAGGTCTGAAATGTTTGCAGGAAGATGCCACCATCAGGACTGGGTTAGTGGTAAATCTATCATACAACCCAACAGTTGGGGGTGGGGAGAGGCCTGGGAGTGGGATGGGGGGCTGGTGACCAGGGGCATGGCTTCTCCCCACTCCCCGCCCTGCATGGAGAGGGGATTGAGACCCCTCTCTCCCCCCAAAAAGAGAGGTGACGGCCTCGAGGATGCTGCCTGCAAGACACACAAACATGCTCATGGCCAGTCTGGCCAACGGCTGCTGTTCTGGGCTGCTGCTCCCCAGAGGTGCTGCTCCTGGACAGGTCGGTCTCTGGTCAGCAAATCTGAAGCTGCTCTGGGTGAGAAGACCCTTCTTTAGGGTCCCTCAAGCCCTGTGAGCCTGGCCTGAGGTCAGGACATGAGCCAAGAGCTGTGGCAGGGACACTGCATGCCTGAGGACGATGGAAGAGCAAAGGGGAGAAGGGGGCAAGGAAAGCCAGGGGGTCATCCCCACTGTGCTGGACGAGGCTGTGGCCATGCAGACCTCCTGTCCCCAGGCCGTGGGCTGAGCCTCCGGTGTCAGGGGGTCTGGCAGAGGGTGGGGAGTGAGACCCCCCTTTGGTGCTAAGGGGGCTCATGGTTTTGAGCACAGGGAAGAACCTGGAACAGCTTCCACTCCTAAGAGAGGAGGTGAGCATCCCGGCAGGGCTGAAGACAAGGTGCACCCTCCTGTCCCTCTGCGGCATTGAGCCCCAGCCACGAACGCCGCACCCCCACGGTGCTCCCCGGAGCGATGGGCTGTGGTTTCAGTGCTACCACCACACACCACACTCCTAGAAACAGCCTACACCACAGCTCACCATCCGAGGGAGGTGCTCGGAGCCTGCTGGGGGGAAGCCTGAGCCAGACATGGGGTGTATGTGCCTTGTCACAGTCCCACCATATCATTTTTTTCTTTTAAAATCTATTTACAAAGGAAAGCACAAGCATCACTTCTTGTGTGGAAGGTTGGGAAGCCTTTGGGGATTGCAAAGCCTCGGCTGGACATGACACACAGCGCCAACGCCCTTAGTGCCATAAAGGTGGATGAGTTGTGAAGTGTTCTGGCTTGGATACTGTGTTTCAGCGCAGGAAGATCTCTGCTCCTCCTGCTCTGGGGTTGCACAGGATGAGCTGGTGTTGGACCCCATGCTCTCCTCGCCCTGAAGGTGCCCTCGCAGGCAGTGGGTCTCTCTGCGCTTCAGCATTTGGCCGCTGTATGAGTCCTGTGCCTAAATCTGCAGGAAAACAATCAAGCTGGGTACAATCCTGCAAATGAGGCAGTGCCACTGTCACTCCCTCCTGCTGCCCGTCAGGCAGAGCTGCTGTCTGTAGGGAGATGGCTAAGGCTTTGCAATCTGTTGGCAGAAGGAAGTGCTTGCCACTCTGATTCACCCAGAATAAACAGAGGCTTTAGCAAACATGGTGCTGCTATTGAGATATAAGTTAAGGATGCTCTGCTAAACACCCTGTCTGGATACCTTGCAAACTGCTGCCCTAAAACTGCCGGATTTTGTTAAGACAGAACTCTCTAAAAACCTGTGACCACACAACACGGTGCTGAGAAAGGCCTCGCAAGGCTGGTAAAACCTACAGCATACACTCAAACCCACGATCCATACTGAAAAGCATCGGATGAGGACAGAGAGGAGGGACGTGAAATGGGCCAGCTGGGGTTGTGCTGGTGAGGATGCCCTGGGGGGACATGGAGAGGGGACAGAGGGGCTGAATAAGGCACACCGAACAGATTAACAGGGGTTAACGCAGCGTGTGTGGGAAATGAGACCCCCCCCCGCTCTTCTGTGCCAGACTGCCCCTGCCCTGCCTGCTCTGGCACGACTGGACGGGGGACTGGGACCTGCTGGGGCTCCTGCCAAAGCGCAAATCACAAAGCACAGCACCAAGGGTCAGACAGACAGGGACCCCCTGAAAAAACCATTTGGCAACAGTGAGAGGAGAGAGGAACGGGGTGGAGGGGATGGGGCGGCTCGGCTGGGCATGGGGTTCCTTCCCGGTTCCCATTTCCCACCCCAGAAATGGACCCACCCGGCTCCTTTGCCCGGCTCCTGCGCCTGCCCCACAGCCAGCGCCCATGCGACAGCCCCAAGCCTCCTTTCTTCCAGCACTTGGAACAACATTGTCACTGGTTGTGAATTTTATACATACTGTTTTGCACTTTTCTTTTTTTTTCCTATAAACCCACTGATATTCAGACATGCATCAAAAAATTCCCCAATGGATTCTAAACACTAATATTTACAGTCTCGTATACTACAGCATTTACTGTGCAAAAGCTAGTACCATCACTAAAAGATACGGGTTCACAGGACAAGTGAACTGCAGTACCTCGGGTAGTCCATGTTTCCAGGGTTCAGAGGGATTACCGTTGCTTAAATAACAAGGTCTGAGAGGAGGAGGGGGATACGATGACTGGAGATGGCGGGTCCCTGCCCATATTTTCAGTGCCTCTTCTGTATCTACGACCAGTGCCTTCCTCTCATGAAGAAAGCGCCAGAGATCTGGGGTAAACCAAAGACCCCTGTAAACACAAGCAGCTCTCTGAAAGCAGAGCTCCTCTGGCAGGCAGCGGGAGACTCTCCCATCCCCATCTGCTAGGGATGAACGCGTTTCGAGGTGGCATCGCAGGAGAGACTCAAACCCTCGGCTTCCACAGCTGCTGCCTGCTGGAGACAAGTTTGTGGGTGCTGAGCTCTTGCTGACCCTCCTTGGTGGATGAAAACAAAAGCCCAGGTATTCCCGGATGCAATCGGCCAGCAAACCAGTAACACGCTTACGTGGGACCCTCCTTCCACAAAGCTCTCTCCTCGGGTTTAAAGCTGATTCATGGCACAGAGGGACGGGAGGAGGAGGAGGGCGAGTGCAGCGAGCACCGGCTGATCTCTGCCCTTGGCGGCTGACGCGCGCGGTCGCTTCTCGCCTGCTGCGAGAGCCCGACATTCACACACCCAGGGATCGCTGCCAGCTGGGATGGAGGGTGTGTCATCCAGTAACAGGTACAAACATGGAACTCCAGTCTCATAGCTGCCCTCGGTGCGTCGGCAGAGCAATTCTCCTCGCTCGCACAACCCCTCCTCCTAGGTTTTCTCTTCTCGGTCTGTTTTCCGCCTCGTAATGTTCCGAGGTTTGATTTTGAGGGACAGTTCCCACAAGGCCTCCTCAGCCAGGTGGTCGCTGAAATCATTGAAGAATGACACTATGTCGTCGTTTCTTTTGATGTCGTAATGTCTGGAAAACCACAGAGCAGGGTGGCAGTTAAACAAGGGGCTACCTGGGGAATTCTACCGACTTCGAGCCATCCCTGCCCTGCTCTAAGGGAC